ATATCCTCTATCAAGCCTAAACGGGTGAGGATATGTAGCACGTTAGACCTACCTTTACCTCTGTCGAACACAAAAATGGGTCTTACTAGCGACCGCTTTTTTAGCACGAGGTGTGCAAGAAAAGGAAAAGCGCATAAATTTTCACCCTTTTATAACTCTTACGTTAAAAAGTGTGTTTATGCCATATGTGATGTTCTGTCGCAAGAGTACGATTTTCCTTTATTCTAGTTATAATTGATTGGGGTCCTGCATGCGCCTTTCCGGCCCCACTTTTAACGGACTGTCTTTTTACTACCCTTTCTTTGACGAGAATTTAGAACTCCAATGCCTTCTATATGGTATCTCTTTGTCCACTTCAGTCAGACAATACTGCCGAACAAAATATACTCGCCAGTCTAAGAATTCCTTTTCACAAACGCATTGGCCTCCTGGTATGTCCCAGTCACCCACTAAGCAGCAACAACAAATCAGACCAAAGCTGTGTTCTAAAAGTATGTCCTCATAGCATCTGATTCCTTTTATCTTTAGTCTACAAAACCAGTTGCGGAACCCTGATAAGTTTAGCTAACGAACCCTCTCTCGCATTTTATCGAATTCAGGAACATGTTCACAAGACAGCTCCGCAGCTGGCCGAGGAACGTGTGAGTGCTCAAGTCCTTCTTACTCTTTTCTTTAGTTGAGAATAGTTGTAACCGAATCGAAGCTGCGGGGCGTCTGCTATGATCTTGGACACATCATCAAGTGCGTTTCGATTGTATCTTCTGCCTACGTTTCTTGGCTGTTGTTTATTAATCAATTCCGCAAATTTTATGCTGGATTATCGACTGATATTGATCTGTATAGGAACAACTAATAAAAGTAGGCATTTTGGTGAAGTTTTTCAGGATCTACATCCCTAAATTTTAGTCTTATTTCAAACTAATTCTTTGCCTATAGTGCTGCTTAGTACTGTGTAGTTGCTTATGTGTACATATCAGCTTCTTTCAAACGCACCCATTGTCATTGTGTATCACGTGCTTGATTTAGTATGTCTGGTGGTGCGGTTTCGAAAAAAAGCCAAATTTTACTTTTACTTTCGCTCTGGAATATGTTACTGGCGCTGTTCGACATGAATAAAGTAGCCTCGCACCTCAACATACTTTTCTTTTAAAAATATGCCCTTCTCTCCTTAGAGCCCTCTCTATGATTCCTAAAGCGCGAAGCAACCTTACCAGTCTTCTGGAAACTGCCAACAAAGTCTTGTCTTTGCAGCAGAACTTGTCGGCTAAAACACAGCGAAGGTTCGTTTCTTTTCTCATACCGCATCTTTACATTACTATCTAAAAATATATGCACCGATCTTTCCCTAAAAGACATATGTCTAGCCGTACAACACTCAAATTAGACGTATACTTATACAATTTACCGGCGCACAGTTTTGCTTACTTGTTCGGAGGATGGTTACACCATGTAACCCAATCATTGGCTTTAGATACTTAGGCTTGGGCCATGTGCGACATGTTACTTTCAATCAAGCTTCCAGTTTTTTTTGAATTTAGAATTTATTTGACATCGTTACTATACATGTTTAGGAAATACTTTGGAATATGGCCTAGCTGAAGATGTCCTACAGCTTTAGTAACACTGACGTTAAACCTTTGCCTCGAAATGTTGGGTCGCAGTTCTAGCTCATAGCTCGGCTTGTACTTACTACCTTTTGACGAAAAATACCTTATTCGAACTATAGAAGACTGCGGAGGAGTACCTTATCGTGAAATTTGTAACGTGTTTAAGTACCTTCCAATACCAGACGTCTTTCTGACGGCACTACGTCTCAACACGCTTTAATATTCTGTTGAGGAGAACCCGATTTAGGCTCCTCACGGAACCGTTCAGCCGATGTTTCAGAAAGTCCTTGTTATCCCAGAATCTTGTCGAACGGCTGGTGAATTCGCACGTGGCCGACAACTCGATTTTATTACATTTTCTGCACATTTATGTGGTGGCAGTACCCTCCACACACATGATTGTTTCCCTTATCTTCTTTCTCTGCCTCTCCACCCTCCCTATTTGTCGTCAGGCCACGGTAAAAGCACAATCGCCTGTCCGACGAAGTTTTATGTTGTCTGTTGTAAATTTTTCGGTGTTGTCTATTGCCTGCGATTCCTTCGTCTATAGAGAGGACTTAGAAATGGGCTTTGATGTAGCGGCGGCGCTGTGATCACCGACTTCTCAGGTGGGAACTGAATGCACAACAGCATGTACAAGAGCTTGCGACAACTTATCAGCGTTTTTTTTCGCCCAAAGCACAAGTGATTCAGCCACACCAACATCTTTGTGTGTGTGCGCGCGCGCAAGACCTGTTACCCTATTTTGATGTCTATATGGAGTACTCTTTGTATGACTTTTTATTTTGTGACACATCCACCTGCTGAATCCCCCTGTCAGTTGTTATGCATGGTTGTTTGCTGTGCGCCTCGTGATTTTGATCGCCGGCTTCTATCACCGGGTGTCGAAATGTTCACTGCTGCATTCAGCTCTCCATGCTGAAGATAGAATGTTAAAAAATGCCCCGAACTTTGTTAGGTCTGCGGTCGTTTTACGAGACATCCCTGCATATTTTCTTCCCGTTATTGTATCGAATTTAGTTGTAAAGATCCTTTACAAGAATTTAATAGCTTTTAGCGTCCCTTCGCTTCGATTATTATGGTTGCTGCTCGTCCTGTGGTCTGTCAGGTGTGGAACGCCTCAGAATACTTCGTCTTCCTATTCCAATAAACGGGACACTTTATGCGAATAGGATGGGCGACATTGATAGAGAGGTCTTATACTACAAACATCAGATATCCTCTGCAGGTTGCACTCCCGTATGACCACCAGCACGATAAGAGTTATTCCGCTTATTGTTTGTAGGTACCGAGGTAAAGTTTGCTTTACTAATCACAATATGGTTCGTTCCCACGCGTCCTATACAGTCTCATAAAAGCAACGGAACAATGCGGTTTCTGAGAATAAAAACTCCCAAGGGGACTATGAATGGATAACGGGACCTACGAAATCACAGGAAACAGACTTTTAAGCACGTAAAAATTCAAATTCGGAATGTAAAGGACTACTTCCTAGGCAAATGAAGATTACTCGGGAGAATCAGGAAAAAGGGAATACGAGAGCTTAAAATTTTATAGCAAAAGTAGGAAATTTATGGAAATAGTAAGGTACAGAATCTGATTTGTGATAGAAAGTTTCTGGTTAGAGAAAAATAAAAAAGTCACCACTTTGAAATTTGTGAAATCAATTTAAGGTAACATTATTCTTCTGTTTCTCAGTTGTTGGTCGATCGGTTTTGTTCGTAGAATGCACAGACGCGATTGCACCAGACTGTCCAATAGTGTTTTAGTTCTTCTTCGCCCATGATGAGGATGTCAGTTGGGTAGCCGTCGGCGTAGGCATATGCGATAAGACCCTGTCTAACCTTTAAGGATAGATGATGTTGCTTTAATGAACGCAGATGGATTACGTATTGTGAATAAATCATATAAAAGGGACTGCACGGGACATCTAATGATACAAATAACAAT